AAAATGGGAGATCAATCTCTTTGAAAGATCAGGTTGTCTAAGATACCTCAAGGGCTGGACGTGATTGTTTCAGCAGATTCAAACACCTGGTAGTTCAGAGTGGAGTTTGAAGAGATGACACTAAAAAGTTCCCCGAGAGCAAAACGTGAGAGTTGCTTCTATTGTGGAGAGGAGGGACATAAGCTTGTGAGTTGTCCTTTGAGGACCAAATATCAAAGGTTGAGAGAGAGAAGAAATGTGGAAGATCTAAACCTTCATCTGGGACCATCGTCTCCCCATGAATCCAAGAGTGGAACCTTTTGTGAAAATTGTGGAGTGACAGGACTTCCCTTTGTGACGGTTGCAGTGGTGTGAAAGCTCTGTTGGAGTCACTAGTGAAGTGCTTTGAAGATAAATTGAGTGCAGATACCGAAAAGTTGAAATCTCTAGATGGCTCAAATTCTAATTGAAGATGGAGATCATTTTCAGAATGATCGAGAAGATGTCGATGAGGGTAAGGCTCATCATGTGTCTAGGAGAAGAGAGAGCCATGGTAATCTTGGACCAACCAATTCCATTCATGTTGCCATTGATGAATTACTCTAGAATGGAGCATGTTTTGTTTGTGTTGTATTAGGGAGTCCCATATAAATTTCCAATAACAACGAAAGAAGTTGGAAATGGGGAAGCTTCTAGTGTTTTATGGGAGAGAGAAAGAGGATGTAGAAGCTTTTGTGAGGGACTTCAAGAGAGCATGTATAGGAAACAATGAGAGAAGGAAACCCGAACGGACTATCCTTTTGCCCAACTTCTTGGAGGATTCTGCATTGAAGTGGTACAATGAATACAAGAGGAAACATGTGGAGAAAGACACTTGGGAGAGTTTGACGGAGAATCTTATTGAAAACTTTCTTCCGGATGAAAGTTACGAGTAGCTCATGTGTGAAGTCACCTTTTTGAAGCAAGGAGAGAGTAAGAAGGTGAGATCATATGTGAAGAGAACAGAGAAGCTAGAGTCACGTTTTCATGTGGTGTTGAGAAAGAGTGGAGACGAGGTGGAGCCAACCATGGTGGGGATTGGGGCGATGTTGACAAAGAACTTCATTGGAGGTTTGAAGCCTCAAATTTGAAGCAAGGTGAGATATGAAAAGCCCTTTTCTAAGGTTGAGGCTATTCGCATTGCTATTCGAATGGAGGAGAGCCTAAAAGATGATGATTTTAGCTTGATGGCTAGAGAAACATCACCACCTGTTGTGGTTAGAATTGCAACTCCTACTGTTGTTGCTTCGCCAGTAGTAAATTCTCCAGTGGTAGACTTGCACCATGAGTTGAAATCTATCACGGAAACACTCGCTGATCTCAAGATTAACGTAGTAAACCTATGGGAGAGGAGGAATCAGAATGTAGGAGGAGGATCTAGAGGGTTTGGAAATTATCCTCCAAAAGAAAATCCACCGCAAGAAAACTTCACAGTTTCATGCTTTAGTTGTGGAGGCCTTCATTTCCAGCGGAATTGTCCTAATCCTTGACAGCATGATGGAAGTAGACACAACAATCCTTCTACTGCTCCAAGTCAATCGAAGGATAAGGGAGTGGCGTCTATTGATGTGTTTCCTCATCAGTGCACGTTTGAGAAGGGAGAGAGTTCTATAAGTTTGAAAGTAGATATTCTTGCACATGAGAAGAAGAGAGCAAGATTTGCAAAGGAGTCCATCTCAATGGAAGATCAACCAAGCCGGAGCACTCAATCCAGTGGTGTGAGTCAACCAATAGCACAGAGGAAGAAGTTGGGAATGGATGATTTCTCCATTTCATCCACACAATTCAAATACGATGTGGTGGAGGATTTGGGGAATCAAAAAGCCAATATAACTGTTGGCCAATTGATTGCTCTAAATCCTACGATAAGAAAGGAGTTGAGGGGAGATCTAAGCTCTAAAAGGACCAAGAAGCGACGATCCAAGGGGAAAGCTTCCATGGCAAATGTTGGAGTAGGAGTGGTGGATGCAGCTACCTCAGATGTATGTACTCAAGCTTCAAAGATTGAAGTACGCATTAGTGGACTTGATGTTTTGGATGTACTTGTGGATGTTGGATCTGCGGTGAATGCCATGTTAGAATGTTTGTTGAAGAAGTGGCATAAGGATTACCTTCGTATAGGGCCAAAAAACCATCGAGTGAAGGTCCCTCTCACAAGTGACGGAGGAGCAATCTCAAACTCGGATAGGCCTATGAGTGATTACTCTAAGTCTGAAAGTGAAGAAAGTGTCAACTTTTCAGAGGTTGACACCAACATCTCCACCGATGAGGAGACATCATCTGAAGATACCTCGGATGATGATGTTCAAGTTCAAGTTCTTGCTGCAATGGATTTACTTCCTAGGCCAAGGGTGGTGAAAGATCCCGACACGATGAAGATAAGTGAAGATGAGATCACTAGACGGCTCTTCACTCTCAAGTTTGGTCCCAAGGTTACTACGGAGGAGAAGTCAAGGTTCTTGGATATATTTCGTAAATATATCTATGTCTTTGCCTTTAGCTACAAGGATTTGAAGAAAGTTACTTTAGAAACTCATCGCATTGAGTTAGAGGAGAAGGCTCGTCCAATATATCAGAAGCAACGTCGAATAAATCCACCAACGGCTGTGGTGGTAAAGGAGGAGATCGGCTAAAGAACGCCGGTTTCATCTATGAGGTAGAGAATTTTGAATGGGTTTCTCCTATTGTGATAGTCAAGAAGAAGAATGGTAAGCTACTTGTATGCGTAGATTACAAGAAGTTGAATGTTGTCACAAAGAAGGATTATTATCCTTTACCTTTCATACATGAGATTCTAGAGGAGGTGGCAGGTCATGAGTGGTATGGTTTTGGAGATGATTATAGTGGTTATAACCAAATTCAAATTGCTCCTGAAGATAAGCTCAAAACCACTTTTATCATGTCATGGGGAACCCCTGACTTTAGGATAATGCCCTTTGGTCTATATAATGCTTCATGAACTTTTCAAAGAGTGCCTGCATGCTTTTTGAATTTGAAAAGACATGTCGTGACTATAAACCTAATCCATTCATGAGCTAGAAATACAACCTCACCGTTAGTCAACTCTTTGGCTTTTTATTCCAAATCTAAATAATAAATGACGTGATCAAAAGGATAACCAAGTAAGCCTGAGAGAATCCTCGGTCTTGGTATACTTATATGGAACCATCAAAGAAGTTATATATACCATGAGTTGGGTTATTTGGCTGGCTAAATCTTGGAAATCCTAAGTTTTTGCAAGAGAAACCCAGAGGTATCGCCTACTTGTTCCGTGATGTTATGAAAATCGATATTTCTGCCTAGAATAAACAATGGTGGGGCAAAGACTATGGCCTATGTTCAGATCTATGTGCCTTCAATCTACAAGCCCTCTCCCGTTGGTCTTCGTCCCTCTTAAGACCTTCTCCCACTCCCCGCACACTCATATGATCAAATCATATACATATATGAATGATCCAAGTGAAATAAGGATCAAATTGATTGATAGACTATCAACATTATTATTATTATCAAGTAAAATGAATGATCCAAATAAGGTCATTATCTGAATGATAGAGAAATCAACACAATTATGAGGATTCTCGAAAAAATAATTAACTTGATGATCGAGAAATTGAAAGTATATATATATATATATATATATGTTTGTTGATAATCATATTCACAATGATCATAATTGAATTATGATCATCCTGATCATTATTCTTCTCCAATTTGTATGATCATTATTATTTTCAATGATAAATACATCATTGAGAATAATAATGATATGCGCCTTATCCTTTTCTTTATCATTTTGATGATCATTATTAAGCTCAATTGTAGATGCATAATTTCTAGGAATTATGATAAGAACCTGACCCTTTCCTTCATGATTTTTGTCATGAGAAAAGGTTTCAAATTTATGTTCATTTTTGCTTGTACATTTGTGCGGTTCCCAAAGGTGGCGGGGAAAAAGGCTCATGAAAATAGGTAACCTTTTGCGCTATTAAGGTACACAAGAAGTGGTACATTTTTGAGAGAAATCGTTCACCCATGAGGTCGTTGGCTTGTTCCTTTCCTATTTATTATTGCAAAAATGTAGGATTGATCCATAATATGATCGTTTTAATTTGGTACTTCTTCCCAAAAAGCAAACACCACAAAAAAGTACCAAATACAATTGAAAAAAAACATAGTACTATGTTAATTTTTCCATGTCGTATTCGCCCGCCTTATTCTTGATTAGTTATGTTTTGGGCCCTTAGGCCCAGTAGGCCCAAGTCTACGAATAAATACACGGAAGTCATGAGTAATCTGGCTCCCATACTTCCTCTTTAACAGCCGGATACCTTAATCTTCCTACCTTCTTAATTTGGAAATTAGATGTAACGTGGGAATGGAATTGAATGAACTCCCACTTCCATTTCCGGCCTTCTTGTCCCTCCCTAAGGTTCAAACAGCAGAATTCTCAAACTATAAAGCAACTCCTGGCCAAATCTATCTTTTCTGTTTAGGTTGGTAAACTCGATCAAGGCCTAAGAGAGAGGGGTCTCGGTTCCCCGGGATTTTCATTGAAATACTGGTAAAGGATTGGAAATCTCCTATTGTTTGACTGACCAAATCCAAGGCTGATCGTATATTTTGGTTTCCCAAACTAACATGCCCTTCAATTCCTGAAACAGCTGAGCAACACGCGGGGGTGAATCCCTCTATCCATGTGGGTAGAAGAAGAACTTCATTCCCGTGACATATGTAAAAAGTCCACATGGCCCCCGGAGTAACCGAGTCCTTGCAGAAACCCTTGTTCCGAGAATATGAGCGTTAATGTCTAAGAAATGGCTTATTAAAGCTTATTTTTAGAAAGCATTTTGTAAACAACCTCATATACCGGGTTCGGTTTGTGGAGCACCATCAGATCCCTCACGGCATTCTGCCGTATTGAGAAGGGGCAGCTCCCTTGTTATCGAATGGAGGTTTGGGCAGCCGTCCCATCCGACTCTTATTGTGTTTAGAAGTGGATTCGAACCACTTACATAAGGATTTTTAATTTGGATTTTTAATCCTTTGCTCTAACCACCTAAGCTATCTAAACAAAACAAAAACAAAAAAAAACTATGTACAATTCTAATTTGTTGGTTATTCAAAAATTACTAAGTACAAATGCATATCTGATACCATAGGCCATCGGATACCAACTTTTGATTTTCAAGGATATTTATATGGATTTCAAAATAAAATGGCTATTATTGATTTAGAAAAAACACTTATTTGTTTACAAAGGACTTGTAATTTGATTGGATCTATCATTAGTGCAAAAGACCATTTATTATTGGTAAATACCAATCCGAAATATAATAAAATAATTCAACAAATGTCAAAAAAAAACCAATCAAAGCTATATCAATCATAAATGGATTGGGGATTTTTTGACCAATTAGAAACATATGAAAAAAGTAAAAAAACACTTTAATGATTTCTCTGCACATCCTAATTTGAAAGATGCTTTTACATCTTCGCCTTTCGATTATTTTCCAGGTTTTAAAAAGATGCAAAAATATTTTGAAGGAATCATGACACACAATATCCCAGAGTAATAATAAATGCAAATCAAAATTTCATGGCTATACTTGAAGCTAATCAATTACAAATACCTATTGTAACTTTGCTGGATTCTAATATTCTAAACAGATTACATAATTTAATAACTTATCTCGTTCCAGTGAATGATTATTCTATAAAATTTGTATATTTATTTTGTAATTTGATTACCAAAACTGTAATTTTTTCAAAAAGATCGCAGAGGCCAAAGGTTAAAGTAAAAGACTTTGAAAGAATCAAACGCTGTGATTTTGTCTCGCTTGATTATCGAATAGAAAAAACTTGTCTTTTATGTGACCGGACCAACATTTCAGCAGCCACGGGTAAACCTGGCCAATCCCGTAGATTGGAAAAGACTCCGCCATAGGAGACGTAGCAGCCCCACGGGCCGAAGGTTTGGTCGAGCATACGTGCCCCTCTCTTTGATCGAGAGCTAAAGTCCCAAAATGACAATGTAAAAAAATATAATTATTTTTCGTAGCTTTTCATTGCTTACTGTCTTCGCAACGACTACACATGGTGACGCATCTTTACTGGCTATTTATACAGTTCCTTTGGTGATGAAGCGGGTCAAAGAAGAAAACGAGACTCTGCATTTGGAAAACACTAGACGTTCTCCACCTTTGACCTCAACACATTTTCTTGGCTTCCCCTGTATTTCTTTATTCTATTTGCAACATAAATGAACACAAAAAATATCTATTTGGGTCTTAAAACAAACAAAAAATAAACTTCTCCCGATGGTCTTTACACTGCGTGCCTTTAAAATCTTTCTGAAACTGTTTTATCAACAGATTTTACTCAATTTATCTACAGTAAGTGTACACGCTGCCATGAAAAAAACCTCGGCATATATGGCAAGGTCCTTTTTTTTTTATTAACGGCCGGGAGAGCCTTTCAAAAGGCTAAAAGAGACAGAGGATTGAAACATAGTCTTGAAATTTGAACGTGTTGTTCTAGTCAAGTCAGGTGGTAAAAAATCATCAAAATCTTATGTACCTTACCGTCAAATTGTTACAACAGTGTACTGAAGTACTTGACGGTCCGGAAGACAGTAAAATCTGCTTAGTCTGTATTTCTGCCCCGCGGCAATGGAGGACTTGGTGGATTTGTCCAATAGTCCAGTAATCGTGTTTAGTCTTCACAACTATCTCCTTTGGCGTGGTCATGCACCTCAAGTAAGCAAATTTGCCGTGGTGTTAATAAAATAAAGCTCACCGAAATGAAAGTCTTTGGACCATAGCTTGGGAGCGACTTTTTCTTTTTTCCCAAGGGCCCAGTTGACTCGGGCGGCTCGTTCACTAGCAGAAGTTGTTTCCCTATGGTTAATAGGTTTATGGTGACAACGGAAAAAGATTGTGTTTCTGAAAAGCCTGTGAATATATGGGCCACGGACCGAGGGTATACTTCGTTTGAGTACAAACTGTCTTTCGAATAAAAAAAGGTCCAACTCAACACCACCTCTTATCTTAGATGTGTGAATATCAAGGATTTTTTCCTTGTATAGTGTATGCAGGTACAGGTAAAAAGAACTAATTGTATTTTCTGTTCTATTAACGTGTTTCGGGGAATGAAAATGCACCAGAGGTGCCTTTACAATCATATTGCTTGAAATCATTGATTTCATTCAATAATCATATAATAAAATCTTATATGCAAAGTCACTGGAAAAATCGATGTCTCTCGATGGGGTTGACTTAAAAAGTAGAGAAATCCCTCTGTCTTTGGTCGAGTGTCTCGCTTTGGTCGACCCTTAAAAAAAAACAGCATTTTCTATTTCATAAAAAAATTCTATTTTTTGAATAAAAAAAGCCTATTTTGTGCAAGTTTTACTTTATTAAAAGTAAAATACTTATTTTTTTATTTTTATAAAATAAGCATTTTAGTTAGACGAAATCTAAAGGACAAAGTATAATAACAAAAGGGATGGGAAGAGCCCATCAAAGCGTACAAGGCTGGAACCAAACCGGTAACATGGGGCTAGGCCCCAATAGTATCACACTGGGAAATATGTCCTACATCACCTAAGATATCTGAACTATCTAGTTCAAAAGGTCTACAAACAATAGGAGCATCCAAAGAAGTATCACCTAACATGGTTGCTCTCCTATGGATTGCACCAACTAGTGCTCTCTGTAGAGCAATGGAAACACGTTGCCTAAAATAGGCTATATAGTAAGCTAAAGAGAGTGATACCCCATGTCGCCTAGTATGGTAGGCTCTCGCGCACTCCCTCACAAACATGTCGCAGTCGGTGTCTATAGCTCCATATAACTCCAAAGCTAGAGGAACGAAGAGGTGACCTTTCTGCATACCTCTATACTTGGAGACCTTGGCTGCTACCGTTCCACTCGCCGCCCATCATGGAGGATGGATGATCACCCCCTCTACAACTATGTCCCTAGTAGGATCAGTAACCACCACATCAGTCACAGTGACCTGGTCCTCCCAAACCAAGTACAGGTCTGCCCTAACCCTAGTCGACTGCAAGGCATACCAACGCTCTTTCCATGTGAGGTATCCACCCTCTCGCGCCATAGCAAACACCACATCCCTAATGGCATCATGGGTAGTTATCCTCTTCTCTCCGAATGGACAACGAGTCATATGAACACATGCTGCATCTAAAGTGATACCACACTCACATGTGAGTAATGAAGATGTAGATGGATGGACCAAGCCTAGACGGAACCTCATCGCTGTAGAAAAAGTAGTTGGTGCGAGTCGGAAAGCCCGAATGCATGATCGAGCCAAGATCCACGAGCCTGTACCCTTGCCCGAGCAAGAGTGTAGACGAGCTCTTGTAGTACGAGAAATGGTCGGATCTACTAAGAGTGAATGTAGAGCCTCTTGAAACTATCGGTCCATCAAGATAGACTGTAGACCCCTAGTCCAATCGGTAGCCAAAGAGGAAAAAGATAAGAATTTATGTCGTACCTCCCGTGGTAAAGCATCTCTCGTATGTCGTAATAATACATGTAAGGGAAATGATCATGTATCGACGTCCTTTGCATATATCTCCAAGATAGGTCTATCTGTGATCACAAATCAAGAAGATAACAAAGGTGCAACGAGCGCCCAACTCATCAAGAATGTCGTAGGTGCCGTCTATTCCATCAATAATAAACCTACCCCTCCATACGAAATTGGCAAAGATGTCTGTCTCCTTGCCAAATCTCTAGTCACATACTCGAATGTCCCTAGTCCGATGATGTCACCAAAGATGCCCATGATTCTTTTATCAAAGGTTGACAAACGTGATATGAATGTAGGTGAAGGAGGAACCGTGCGAAGAAGGTAGGTGGGTCGACGAGCAATACTAGATGACAGTATACCAAATGCCACCTGCGGATCCCCTAGTAGAGGAAGGTCGTCTACATGCAAAACATACTCGGCCAATGCAACGTCAAGGTAGCGTGAAACAAAATCCTCAAACCCTACTAGCACTTCTAGAATACATAAGCCATTTGTCGATATCATACATCCCTCTAGAAGCTGAAGATGATACTGAATGCCCAAAGGAGACGAAAGCCTACACTTTGACACCTTGACTCTCAAGCGTACAAGATGAAGCTCGGTAGTCAAGTAATCAAAGGCTTGCCTAATGTTGTCTACAGGGCCCACAATGTGTGTATCATCTGTTAAGGAGGGGAACACACAACCGGGCACGGCCAAAGCAATAGACACAAGAGCTCTATAATGAGCCATGGCAAATAGAGGTCCTCCCAAAGGATCTCCCTGTCGAATGTCAGTGGCAGACTGTAGAACAATGACTCCCTCCTCGGAAAGCCATGCTGATAAAATAGAGAAGAATGTGAACCGTAAAAAGATCGTACGAAAGGAATGAGGCATGATAGGGATCTACAAGCCTCTCTAAGCTCTTTAAAAATGGATGCACGCGAGACGGTGTTAAAAGCGTTCTCAACGTCCACGTGCAAGACAACCCAATCTGGATGGATGTCTAGAAGTGCTCTTATGCCCAAGGATACCGCCTCACAGCCTCCTGGTATGGCGACTCCAAACTGATGTGGACAAAGATGCTCCTGGAAGTGTGAGCGATGATGCAAGACAACGGTACGACTGATTAATCACAATAAGACCTCTCCAATAGTAATCAGTCTGATGACTCTAGTGTCCTTCTCCATCGCGAGAAGCCGACTAGCACCCAAACCTGACTAACTGACAACGGAATCTCCCCTCTCGTAACTGATGCAGCCACCTAGAACAACTCCGTGAAACCACTAGAGGGATCATCTGCATGAAAGTAATCTCGAAGATGCTCATATAGCATCCCTGACAAACCCCTAGAGGATAAACATGGGGTTGTGCATAGAGAATGAGAAAATAATGATCTATCAAGACATAATGGCTCCTCTGGCTAATACTCCAAGACCTCTAATGTTATCTCCTCGTCCATGGGTGGTTGAGAAGGCGTAAAGAGAAAATCGTCTCCTCAGTAGGACTAGACATGGACAAAGTATGAAGGGCACGTGCA